ATATATAGTCTTTAAACATATTGTGTGTACAGTATTTATATTGAGTAATGGGAAGACATTGGGACTTGAGGTCCAGGCGTTTGAATGACCTCTTGGCGCTTAGAATCTGGTAGCTTCTGATGTAAGTAAACACCTTATGTGTTAAACTTTTTCTATTTTTCTTGTGCTGAACTTTAAGGTTCTTTAAATATTGTAAGTATGAAGATCATTTGCCAGGGACAGTTTTGCGGCAAAGAAGGATGTTTGGTTTCAGACCTCAGTAGAGTTTTATTTTGCATGTTATCAAGTTGACATTATTTTTATGCAATTAATTCAAAACGGCTTATTTGCAAGGGGATGAAAATAAAATTGGTGTTTATGAGGTGGAAGGTCAAGAAATACCAGTTGTCCAATTTTCAAATCTGTTCTACCACTCCATCATCTGCGATACCACCTCCTCCTCCCCTCACTCAGTCTTTCCACTCAGGTCTTAGGGCTTCTCGATCTGCTGCAATTTCTCATAAAACTCACAAACTGTCCGCGAAAGGATGCAAGCGATTTGGGGGCTTGTCGAGTCCCAAAGTCTTGTGCCAGATGTCAGTGTGGAGGATTCTCCTCCCTCCAGCTAAGTCACATGACAGGCTATTGACTCACAACTTTGTAGAAGCTGGGGAGTCACAGCAGGTGACAGGCTGTGGTAACTGGGCTCACACACTATAGGAAGGAACAGCGTCCCTTAATCCTGTCTCATTAACACAACGGTCCCCTCACTCTACCTGGAGCATAACTGCAGGTGCAGGTGCTCGGGTTCACCCTGTGTCACAGTACTGAGGATTGTGGGTAGAAGGGCTGTGGTTATTACATTACCGTGCTGCCCCGTCTCCAGAGACCCTGGAGATGAAAGGATTGACCCAATAGCAGTGAAGTGGGCTCCTCTCTCTGGTCTCATGATCTGGCTTTCTTGTTGAGAAGCTTTGCAGCCCAATTACTTTTTCTCCTGTTGGAACAAGTAGGGGTCTGAGGAGGGTGGAGATAGATGGGACAGGACTTCTCTGGAGTCTTTGTGATGCAGGACAACAAAGGCAAGGGTCCCTGAAATCCCAGCCCTGCTAGAATGGAATTACATTTGAAAAACTCAGCTGGACATTTTCTCTTTTGATTTGAGAGGCTGAATTTACACACATACAGGAGCTGACTGTTTTTGTATTTCAGTTCTGTCGTGTCTTTTGTGTGTGTGGGGAAAACCTTCCCCGTTTCCTCATTAGTGCTCCTATACACACGAGCATTGTGTTTGCCCGTCAGCCCTGCATTCCTGGTTACATCTTAGTCACTGTCATGCTCAGTCATCACAGAATTTTCTCTTGGTGTATTTCTAATGCTTGGGTCTTTCCAAACTCCTCGAATAGCCAAATACTTCATCTTTCTCTCCTCACAGGTGCCTTTTTCTTCTCCAGATTTTCCCGTTTTATTGTACATTCTGAAACTCCTTTTCAAATTATGTGTTCAGTCTCTCAACAGGATAATACTGGACAAAAGATGTCCAGTCAGCTTATACTGGTGCCGTGGATGAAGAATGATGCTTGTCCGTCCATATTGAGAGAGATTCGTGAGTTCTGTGGCAGTGAAAATCACCACACCAAGAAGGAAGGGTGTATGAGGTATCTCACCCATGACATTGAATATTGCCTCAGGAGAGAGTCTCAACATACCATCACATGTGTGTGCCTGTGGTGTGTGTGTGTGTATGTATAATACTAGCTCTCCGTGTGTGTCTGTGGGGTGTGTGTGTATAATATTAGCTCTACATGTGTGTGTCTGTGGGGGTGTGTGTGTGTGTTGTGTATAATACTAGCTCTACATGTGTGTGCCTGTGTGTATGTAATGCCAGCTCTACATGTGTGTACCTATGTGTATGTAACACTAGCTCTACATGTGTGTATGTGTGTAATACCACGTCTACATGTAAGTACCCGTATGTATGTGTGTATGTACTACCAGCTCTACATGTGTGTGTGTATGTATGTATGTATGTATGTATCACCAGCTCTACATGTGTGTGTTTACCTGTTTCACGACTCGTTATTTTTCTATAAGTGTGAATCAGAGATTGAATATTTTGAGACATCTTTTTCTTCTATCACAATATCAGAATGCTTATTTTGGAATATAGTAACAAGAACGTCAGCACCCTCTGTGAGACAGTTGAACCTGTGCAACATGAGACAAGTTATCACAGCAAATGCACGTTCCATTTGTTGCTAATTCTGTTGCTTTTGTTGTGAAGTGCTGTTAAGTCAGTTGTGACTCATAGCAACACTCTCATGGGTTCCGAGAAGCAACTGATGGGTTTGCACTGCTGACATTGTAGTTTGCAGTCCAGTGCTGATCCTACAGCGCCACACCAGGAGTCCATAGTAATTTTGAAATGGTACTAAATGTAGTTTTAACAACATATTCTCTGTTGTCCACAGAAAATATATGACAGAGAGCCTTCTTCCAAATAAAGAGGATAAAGTAAAGAAATATGAAGAAGATGATCAGTGTGAAAACATTACCTGCTGGAATGAAAATGCTACTAGGCTCAGAGGAACTCACGTTGGAGTAAATCCTGTTGAATTTCATGAGTGTGGTGATCATTCCTTTAACCTTCGCATCAGATCTCACACGGAATACAAATCATTCCAGTGTAAAGAACAGAGTGAAACCTGCAGTTCTCCCTCTCACATCAAACGTCATTCAAAAACAGCTAATGGAGAGAAACTTTGTGAATGTAAAGATTGTGGGAACCCCAACTGTTGTTCCTCATCCCTTACTAAACGTGAACTAACTCACAGTGGTGAGAGGCCTTCTGAATGTACAGAATGTGGGAAAGGCTTTAGTCATCCCTCAGCCCTCACTAAACATGTAAGGACTCATCTTGGAGAGAAACCTCACGAATGTAAGAAATGTGGAAAAGCCTTTACTCGGTCCTATACTCTTACTGAACATATAAGATCTCACAATGGAGAGAAGCCTCATGAATGTAAGGTATGTGGGAAAGCTTTTACTCGGTTCTACAGCCTCACTGAACATATAAGATCTCACAGTGGAGAGAAACCTTATGAATGTAAGGAATGTGGGAAAGCCTTTAGGTATTCCTCAAACCTGACTGAACATTTAAGGTCCCACAGTGGAGTAAAGCCATATGGATGTAAGGAATGTGGGAAAGCCTTTCAGCTTCACACACAGCTCACTCAACATAAAAGAACACACAGTGGAGAGAAACCTTATAAGTGTAAGGAATGTGGGAAAGCCTTCAATCAGTCCTCAGGCCTCAGTGCTCATAAAAAAACACACAGTGGAGAGAAGCCTTATCAGTGTAACGACTGTGGGAAAGCTTTTCGTCACTCTACAACTCTCATTGTACACACACGATCTCACAGTGGAGAGAGGCCGTATGAATGTAAGGAATGTGGGAAAGCCTTTAGTCGGTCCTCAATCCTCAGTGCACATATAAGATCTCACCTTGGAGAAAGACCCTATGAATGTGAGGAATGTGGGAAAGCGTTTAGTCACTCCTCAACCCTCAATACACATAAAAGGTCTCACAGTGGAGAGAGGCCTTATGAGTGTAAAGAATGTGGGAAAGCCTTTACTCACTCTTCTACCCTCAATGTACACATAAGATACCACAGTGGAGAGAGGCCATATGACTGTAAGGAATGTGGGAAAGCCTTTATTCAGTCCTCACACCTCACCGTACATAAAAAAAAACACACCGGAGACAGGCCTTATAAATGTAATGAATGTGGGAAAGACTTTATTCAGTCCTCACACCTCACGGCACATACAAAATCTCATAGTGGAGGGAGGCCTTATTAATGTAAGGAATGTGGGAAAACCTTTAGTTTATGTTCACAGTGCAAATGGCTCACAGTGGACAGAGTCCTTATGATTCTAAGCAGTGTTGCAAAGTCGGCATCAATCCTCAAGAAAGACAAATGGAAAGTTGTCATTTCTCCCTCAGCCGTTAGGAAATACCCAAGAAGATGCACCGGAAAGAAAGGGTACATGTGCACTCCTGGTAGGCTTTCAGGCATTCTTAGCAACAACAACAACAACAACAACAAAATCTCAGAAACTCTGGAAGAAAATGCACGTGACAGAAACGAATTAGTGTCATGACAGTATTTTGAGAAAGCTTTTGCTTTACCCTCAGTACTGTTTGATGGTGAGGATTTTTGCAGATGGGAGTCTTAACTAATGACCTTTTCATGACAAGCCCATTTTGAACGAGATCGTGCATACGTAGAGAACATGGAAGTATCTATGAATCGTGGAGTTTTTAGAACATGTGTACGTCATCATACTGTGTATTAAGCCTATGAGTGAAAAAAGATGAGGGAACACTTGTAAAGGTTTAGTACACATACACTTCTGAGGATCCCGCCATGGCACTGCAGGGTAAACACTGGACTGACTGTAAGGTTAACAGTTCACACCCACCACCTGCTCTCCTTTGTCCCTATGAGTTGGAACTGATTTAATGTCCTGCTACAACAACCACACTTTGTATTCTAAATGCATTAGGTTCTCATACAAAAACTTATTTTAACAGACACCCACACATCACGTAGTACTCCATCAAAACTGTTTGGGGGATAAACTCTTTCAGGTTTCTTTGTTGTAAAACAGCATTTTCTGAAGGAATTGCTAACAGAATGTATAGTTCTCTTTGGAACCTATGTTTGCCATTCTGTTATTTGCCTTCCACAAGTATTAGATCCCTGCTGTACTGATCAGATGCCTCTTAGAAATGGTAGTCTGTGAAGACGTGCTCACGTGGACGCAGTGGAACCTCAGGACAGCTTAAGAGACTGTATTTTGAGCCACAGTCCTTTTGGTAATTCTGTGGTTCAAGGAAAGAGTCGAGGCCCAGAAGCTGAGCCAACACGTGTTTGGTTGTGTTGTACTGCTGGCTGTTTCACTTGGTTAATACTTGCACCAGAGCCAGTATCCCACGGTGAAGTATGTAATGGGCTCCGGAAATCGTGGACATAGGTCCAGACGTGGCCAATAATTTCCCTTTCCAAATCGTCATACAAAAAATCCCTGGGGACCCTCATTGTGTCTACTGATAGAGTGATGGTAGAACAGTAAGAGGGGGAAACGCTCAGTTTACACCAAGGAGCTTTCAGTAAGTGCCTGGTGGCACGTCACAGTCTTGTAGTTCCAGGAAGTGCATTGTTTGAGGACAATGTTAGTCTATAGTAGAAGTGGCAGTGATAGCGTAGTGTTGTCTGAAAGGTGGGGTGGAGCACACGTTGAAGGTGGTTGTTGGAAACCCAGACACAGAGCAGCCTGGGCAGCCATCTCGGGCAGTAGCCGCGTTCTCTCTGAAGCTGAAACTGACGTTTCCTTAGGCGTGTGCTGCTCCCTCATTGTCCTTGTTTTCCAAGAGCGTTTCTCTTACTTAAATGATGATCTACTTTTGCGAAGTCCTGTAATGTCATGCTGACACACACAGCGGTTCATAGACTCAGCGTCACAAGGAAAGTACAGACTAGCGCTTCCCACCGAAGATCACGCTGCTGCCTTTTTAACTCAATCCTTCCCCTCACTGCAAAGTCCTGGCAATAATAGTCGGTCTGTTTGTAGCTTTTACATTCTGATTCATTTGTTTAGCATAATGGGTTTGAAATTCATGTGTATTGATAAATGGATCAATAGCGTGTTCTTTTTATTGTTGTGAAGTATTCAATTCCATATTCGACTTTTGTGTCTTTACCAATGGAACAGTGCTTTTGTTGTTCATCCTCTTTGGGAATAAAACAATTGTAAACATTTCTGCACAGGCTTTTATATGAACATAGGTGTGATTTTTCTTCATCATTCTCTTGAGTAAGAATGCTGTGTCATATACCGATTAGGATATCAGCTAGGCTGTGGCTGAGAACTGTCGAGACCAGCTTGGGAGGGACTTAGCCCACGTTAGTATGCTGCTGCTGTCCATCAGGCGTTTTGTGCCATCTTTGAAATTGTCACGTTTGAACTCAATGCTGTTGCCACTGTGATATTCCATCACATTAGGGCCTTCCTCTTAGTCACTGACCTCTTGGTCCACCTCACTTAGCATGATGTCCTACAGGGACTGGTCCCTCCTGATCATATATCCAGAGTATGAGAGATGAAGTCTGGCCATCCTGGCTTCTAAGTGCATTCTGGTTGTATTTCTAGAAGTCCGTGGTAATTGTAATATTCTTCACTAACACTGTAGCTCAAGTGCATCAGTTCTCTAAGGTCTTCCTTATACATTGTCCAACATCAAATGTGTAGGAGGCTTTTGAAAATACCATGGCTTGGCTCAGGTGCACCTTAGCCCACTAACTGACATCTTTGCGCTGTGGGTTAATGCGCTGGACTGCAAATTCGTTTGAACCACAAGTTCGGTGGTTCAAGCTCACCAGTCGCTCCTCAGAAACCCATGCAGGGTCACTATGGGTCGGAACTGACTTGCCGGCACTTAACAACAACAAATACCCATGCAGAATGTCGTCCGCAGCTTGTCTTAACCCACACAGTTAAAAGTGTTGACTAGTCAATGTTGTTGTTAAGTGCCATATACTGCTGCAGCCCTTTGTGAATTATTATTGTCCAGTGATTTCTGCATTCCATTGACTTAACCTCTGTTTGGAATGGGCACAAGTATGGATCTCTTAGTCAGTTGGCCAGGAAGCTGTCTTCCAAGTTTCTTGGCAGAGATGAGTGAGTGCCTCCAGTGCCGCATCAGTTTTTTGAAAGATTTCAATTAGTGTTCCATCAGTTCCCAGAGCCTTGTTCTTTGCCAATACCTTCAGTGCATTTAGTCCTTCAGGATCGATCATTGGCTCTTGATCATGTGATTCCTTTAGGAATGGGTGACCACCAACCGCTTCTTTTTGGTGGCGACTTTTGAATTGTTTCCAACCTGAGGCGCTCATCTTCTGATACTTTATCTGACCATTTTTGGTGCTACTTAACCGTGTTTCAATAATCCATATTCTGGTGCTATCTTACAGTGTGTCACTGCTATTCATGTCTCCAGTAGCAAAACTTTCAGAAGTAATACGCCTTCCCTTTTTCTGAGTCTGTTAGTGTGGTAGCTCAGCTGAAACCTGTCCACCATGGGTGGTCCTCCCAGCATTCAAACTACCTGTAGGACAGCTCCCAGCATCTCAGCAACACCCAGGGCACCACAGTGTGACAAAGGGACAGAGGAGTGGTGGGAGTAAGTCATTCATCTTTCAAAATGGAATCATTCTAGCTCTTGTGTTGTTTTCTGCCAAGACTGTGTTTTCCAAGTACGGGGCCTCCTTCATTTCAAACTTCTAATCAGCATCATTAACGACACATTTGATCAGTATTGTAACTACAACATAGGGGAAAGCCTTCATTTCTTCATCTTTAGTATTTTGGGTTGGTATGGAAATTTGAGTAATAATCCTATTAACTTGTGTTATTCCTAAGTTTATGGATATTTTCCTTTCAATGACAACATTGACTTTCAGGACAGACCTGGAAATATCCTTGTAGAATAACAATGTGACATGGTGGTGGTTCAATTTGCAATCCCAGCCTAGTACAAATCAGAATTTCCCAATTTAAAATGACCAACAGCAACCTGTCCATTTCAATTCTGTAATGCCTAGGATATCAATCTTAAGACATTAAGTTCCATTTTTTTTACTATTTTTCATTTTCTTTCATTTTATACTTCATACATTCCATGTTCTGATTAGAAATTGATGTTTGCGGTTGTTCCTCTCAGTTTGACTCCTGCCACATCAGCAAATAAAGGTTCTGAACTCTTCACTACATCCATACCAACATGGTGGACTCTACTTTGAAAAGACAGGGTAAAGTTTTTTCCAATACTCTTTTATGCGAATGCCAACATTCTTTGTTCTCTGTTGTTTTTAATTGCCATTGAGTCAGTTCTGACCCACTTGTTACTAGGTGTCATTGAGTCGGTACCAACTCATAGTGACCTTATGCACTACAGTGCGAAACACTCCCTATTTCCTGGGCCAACCTCACATTTGTTTCCATATTGAGCCCATTGATGCTGTCACTTTGCTAATCCATCTTGTTGGGAGTCTTCCTTTTTTGTAACCTTCACCTCATCAAACATGATATCCTTCTCCAGCGACTGGTCTCTCCTGACAATATGTCCGAAGTATGAGAGATGAAGTTTGGTCACCATGACCTCCAAGGAGCACTCTGGCTGCACTTCTTCCAACACAGATCTGTTGGTTCTTTTGGCAGCCCATGGCACTTTCAATATTCTCCTCCAACACCAGAACTCAAAAGCATCAATTTGTCTGAATAAGGTTTTCCTTATTCACTGTCCAACTTTCACATGCATATGAGGTTATTGAGAATACCATGGCTTGGGTCTGGCGCACTTTAGTCCTCAAAATGACATCTTTGCTCTTCAACACTTTAAAAATGTCTTATGCAGCAGATTTTTCTAAAGTAGTACATCGTCTGATCTCTTGACTGCGGCTTCCATGAGTGTTGATGCTTGATCCAAGAAGAATAAAGTCCTTGACAACTTCAATCTTTTCTCCGTTGATAAGAATGTTGTTTATTGGTCCACCACTCTTCTGTCAGTTAGTCTTACTGTGGTGGTTTGTGAGTTGCTGTGATTCTGGAAGCTACACCATAGGTATTTTAAATACCAGTAGGGTCATCCACGGTGGACAGGTTTCAGATGAGCTTCCAGACGAAGACTGACCAGGAAGGAGAAATGAACTACTCCTGACTATTTGGTCACTGAAAACCTTAGGAATAGCAGAGAAACACTGTCAGATAAAGTGCTGGAAAATGAGCCCCTCAGGTTG